GCCAACCTAAAGGGTATTACCCCATGGATTCACTAGTTGTTGACTTCACAGATATGCCCAAGTGTGGACTTTATAAAGCTATGCTGGGCATGGTGTGTAATTATACTGGATGGCCTGAATGTTTTCCTACAAAGACAAAGCAGGCACACGAAGTGGCCAGGATCCTGCTTAAAGACATTGTGCCCTGATATGGAGTTCCCTCGTTCATATCTTCAGACAACGGGCCTGAGTTTGTGCACCAAGTAATTCAAAAGCTAGCAAAATCCTTAGGGACCCAATGGAGGTTTCATTGTTTTCTACACCCCCAAAGTGGGGGCCACCCTGAACGTGCGAACCGCACTGTTAAGGAAAAGATAACCAAGGTGTGTCTTGAAACCCATCTTAAATGGGTGGACGCCTTACCCTTGGCTCTCTGGTCTGTAAGATGTACTCCATGTAAAAGACTTAAATTATCTCCTTTTGAAATGATGTCTGGATGGCCACCGGTTATAAGCCCTAATTTGAAAAATCATATAGGGGACCTAGGACAGCTGGGGACCTCATGGGTGAATCAGATGGTGGGAGAATTAAATAAGCAAATACAAGAAATACAGCAGTACTGTGTTTCTCTCACCCCACGATTTCTGACAACTTCTAGTCATAATATTCAGGTGGGGGACAGAGTTTGGGTGAAACACTGGAAAGGGAAGAATCTAAAACCCAGACGGAAGGGCCCGTATACTGTAGTTATGTGTTCTCCACTTGCAGTAAAAGTATTAGAATCCAAGTCTTGGATTCACTGTACACGAGTTAAGCCAGCTGCTGAAGAGTACTGGGAGGGTAACCGGGACGAAGCCCGTCCTTTAGTAATACGCTTAAAGAAGCACCCCCTATAACTGCCCTACCCGCAACGGACAAACTAGATACGGGGCAGAAGAAGCCCTACTGAAGCCACACTGGAAGCTGGTTTCTCCACGTAAGGCTGAAGATTTGGAGGAGGAAGACAACATTCCAGTTATTAGATATAAGATGAATTAGAAAGTTTGATGTCAGGGTATGGCAGTTCAAGCATTCATAGCCATAACTGTGCTATCTCTTGCTTTAGTGAGTGTGCTTACACTTATTTTGATTTGTTGTATTGGGTATTCATTCTTCGGTAATTGCCCCCTCCCGAAAAAGACAGGTGCTGAGGCTAAAATCATTGATTGTGATCAAGAGGAATGCAAATCCTCTGATGACACTTATGTTTGAGGAACCGTGGGGGTGGGTTCTTTGTAGTATAATAGGAGTTTTGGGATTGTGGGCAATATATTTAGCAAATAAGATTTGGTTTTGTGGATCTCCCAAAGCTGATATTGTCCTTCCTCAAACTATATATAACCCCTGCCTTCTCCCTGATGTGGTGATTCTGTAGGCTAAAAGAATTGTGTTTGGAGAGGTTCTGCGTAAGGGACAATTATGAGCTTTTTGTGGCTCTGGCTGTTATTGCCAAAGGGCTTGCTAAGTGATAACGTCCTGAATAATAGTTCCCAATGTTGCAAAAATACCCGATCAACCCTCCTTATTCTTGAAGAAAGATCCAAGGATGTTAAAAATCCCAGAGAACAGGGTAGAATCAAGTCACAGGATGTGGAACAGGTCCGCTCCCACCAACGGTGCATCATTTATGCTTGGGGATGCAACTGTAAGCCAATTCCAACACCTAAGGTCAATCATCTGACTAACCCTGTAAGAAATAGGGCAGAGCATCGGGAAAATGGGCCCCGCAACAATTGAGAAAAGGGAACTATATGTTAAGAGTGCTGGAGTTAGGTCAAAGCTTAATTAATCAGTCTGACCCTGCCCTGGGTCAAAAATGCTGGTTGTGTTTATCTGCTGGACCATCATCTTATCATACCTTTCCAGTTGAGCCAGATCTTTGGGAAAAGACCAAGGCCACGATAGTCCTTGACAAGGGTGGTAGATGGGGAACCAAAGCAGCAGAAGCCCAGCTGCAAAGTGACTTGTATAATACACTCAAAAAGCTGGGGATGAGCCGTCTCCCCATTGTTGGCCCCATAGCAGTTGGTGTAGAAATTATAGGGTCACCCTCCTTGTGCATCAAATGTTATCAGGAACCTGGCCTTCTTGTGGGGTCACTGTTAGAAGAACAGTGACCATCTGAAATGTACCTTGCCCCTAGGAAGACACTCGTGGATGTAAAATTAACTTGCAGCTTGTCTCCTTCTGCTCAACCTTTTCCAACAGAAGGTCACTTTCTCGCTTCCGCTCCCACTCGTTTTAAGTAAGAAAAAGAAAAAAAGCTAAAAGTGCAAGAAAGGAGGGGGAAAAATTAAAAGAAAGAAGACATAAGGCAATTTTAAGTAAAATTATACGGGTATCTCTTATTTTATGGTTATAATATAAAGTTCTTTCTACAATCTGTCCTGTCCAGTCATCAAAACCCTAAATCATATATTCATTTTTCCTGTTTCATTCCAAAAAATCTATAAGGGCTTTTGATTTCCTGCCTTAGTCTTGATGCAAAGGAAATGGATGGAAACTAAAACAAGACACTCAGTCTCTAATTCAATTAAATTTATTAATTGCCTCTGTACATTTCAAGATGGAGAGAGAAAATACAGAAACAAGTATTTGTTGGGACAGAATGTCAGTAAATATTTTCATCTTTTTGCATTCATCTCCCTGCTCTGTTTTCAAATGTCCCCAAAATACCATTTCGGCACACAGTGAATAGGTTTCTCCTCCCAAATGATCTGCAGCCGTTCGACCCAGGAAACCAGCATTTGCTTTCTTTTCTCATCTGTCACATACTCAGAGGCAAAGCAGATCTGAGGGGAAAGGATGCTGAAGCCACAGAAGTGCAGGATTCCATGCTGGAATTAAAAAGAGACACAGTAAAAGCTGTAATGTTTGGCTTGTGGTTAGACGATAGTTGATGCAGATAACAACAACAGCAGTAAAGTTGAATTCACAGTACATTTCAGCCATAGTTGGCAAGGAGGAGCCA